TTGAGAGAAAGATCATGGAGGAAGAGTAGACATCCACCATATTTTGATTTTTATCGTAACATAAACGAATTTTTTGTTTAGATTATTACTTGAGGAAGGTTAGAACCTAGAACTCACTAAAACGGCTGTTGGAATAATATAATGGATTTTCAGCTCCAGTTGTTCAACAAACGTAGGAGCAACACTTTATCATTCGACAACATGCATTGGCACATATTTTCTTCTTTGGCTTCCCTCTTTCCTTTATTTATTTATTATTTATTTGTGTATTGGAGGTAGAGACAGACTAGGATGTTAACGGAACGGGAACAATCAATACTCTGCTCAACCAGTGCCATGCAAAGGCTTTTAGTATTTAAGGGTGTCAAGTTATTTAAATTAATCATTTTCAAGATATATATATACACATATATATATATATATATATATATATATATACAATATTTTTGCCAAAGTTTATCAAGGCCGGTGCCCTTCAATATTATACATAGGTCCGCCTCCGGGAAGAGGAAGCTTTCAGGACAAGTTTGGATAGGGAATGATTAATGAATCATGGTGCACTTAGTAAAAGCAGATATTTCAGCGTTAGCGTCAAGTTGTTTTATTTAGGCCTTTTATTTCTATAGTTGAAAACTTGGAATTAACTTCCCTTAAGCTTAGAGACTAACGACAACACCCCAAAAAGGAAAAAAGATGACTGGAAAACCTTTTTCCTAGCTTTTGCACTAGCTAAAGGTATAAAGTGGGTTCTCAAATGGAAACAACACCATTCAAAGATTCTAATATTGCATGTGACGCCTCTTCAGATGCCTAAATCGGTAATACTTTGCGAAAAGTCAGAACCACATTTCTGTAACCTCTACTATTCTTAGAGTTATTTATCACTGCAAATTGCTTGTTTGCTGCCTCTTTTTTTTTTCCACATGAACAAACCACATGCACGTCTACGAATCTGTTTTGCAAAAGTAACAGTTGATGCTTATAGAGCATGAAGATGAATTTGAAGTTCATAGCAATGCAATCACAAGGCCTATTTAGTACTGACTTTTACTCTCAAAAACGAATCTTAAGGTAAGTCGCTGAAGATAAATGTTACCAATAAGTGTGTTTCCGAAATTCAGAAGAGTGCTCTATGATTTAACTTAATTTTCCAAATTTCAACGACATTCCCTCTATTATAATCCCTCACGTAACATGGAATGCATCTCAAATCAATCTGCTCGCCAACAAAGAAGGGCTCGGATGCACTATCAAGCTGCTTACTTCCTGCATCATCTGCTGCATAGTAGCATGTCATAAACGTATAGTCGTGACGAACTACCAATAAGAAGTGAAAAGAACCTTTTATCTAATTGCAGCTTCCTGCTTACCTTCCTCAGTGATCAGGTAACTGCGGAAGTGTGAATATCCATTTGCAACAACATCAAGATCATCAAGAGCGAAGTTGTAACGCTTTTCAAGAGCCAAGTATAGCACCTGAAATGAAGGGCAATACCAGAACCAATCAATCACTATGCTTTTATGATCTTTCACTCTTAAAGGTGCCAACAACATAATGCTTTAAAGCTTTTAGAGAATCAATACGAAAACAAAAAATGTGGCAATTTCTTAGGCAAGTGACTAGCTGGAAGTACCAAAAGCAACACAGGACCCAACATGCAGAACCAAAATGGCAAAATGGCAAGACAAAACATTTTGTTGCCTCAACGCCGCCACTAAGGATACTTTACGCTTTTCTTTATGCATATTCAACGCCTTACAATGTTTCAAAATTCCCGAACCATCAGAGAAATATGAACCGGTTCATTTTGTTTGATTTCATATAATGACCTACTAACCATATCTAAATATCATGCTATCAAGCTAACTTCATAAATTGATGTCCAACTTCTTGGTTGGTTTTCATCATCATTTGAAGCAACAAGGTGAGCTTTCATTTTACAGCACACTTTCTTATTGATTTAATTTCAATTTTCTGCCAAAGATCTTTATTTCTTGGTTATAATCTTAGGGCGCAAAATGAAGAAGAAAACATATCAAAATTTGTCGTGATGCTTGTGGGTTGTAGTAGGAACGCCTGATGGATTACTTGAGGCACGTGCAAGTTGGACCCAGTACCACTGTCATCAAAACAAAAGAAAGTACAGAGTACTCCAGCTTCATTCAAGGTACCTTCTCCGGGTTGTCTGACATTAATTTCTCTAAGATGCTGAAAAATGCATCAGTCAGGTCATCGCTGTAAATGACATCAGCAGCTAGAAGCAAAGAAGTTTTCTTGAGTTCTTCGATTTCTGATTGGGTCCAGCTGTACCTGGACAAATATGGCTAACCTGCTTTAGTACTTAATTCAAATGTTTATCACCGTTCAAACCAACCAAAAAAGGTCAGCAAAAGGTGGTTAAAGATTTGTCGAGATGCAATTCTAGCTGTCTCTTATAGTAAAGACCAATCATTACCTTCCTTTGGATGGTGAAGTTTTCGCCTCTTGAGGAGGCCATGAATCTTTCCAATCAAGTTCACGTACGTGAACAGAAGCCTTGCCAAGGAATATTTCAGCATTAAGATTCACATTTTTCTCACAGTTCTCGAGTACTTTGTCACCATGGTCTGACACATACAAATTAGGGCTTAAACAGATAATTTGATAAAAGCATGCCAACCTTAGTGCTCTAACTTAAGGATAGACGGTTCATAGCAACAGCCACAGCAACAAAGACAACACTAAAACTGATGGTGACTGGTTTAAACTCCAAAATGTGTTAAATGAAGCATTGATAATACTAAGCAGCTCGCCTAACATTAAGGGCCTACATTAACAAAATAACATTTCTAGGCATTGAGCTCTCACCACCTAAATATATGGCATGGGAAGTGCTGATTGGTAGATTAAGTGCAGTCTTACTTAAATACTTGCAGAAAAAGAAGTAATAATAAGCAGCCACCTAAAGCAGCATTAAGATCCACTTTCCACAGTTGTCAAGTACTTCATCACCATGGTCGACCGTATACAAGTTAGGCTTAAGCAAATAGACGTGACAAAAGCATGCCAAACTTGGATTTTAACTTAATGATAGACAACTGACATAATCACAGCAACAGCTTCAGAGACAAGGAAGGCAAAAGCATAACATTGATGGTGACTAATGCAAGACTTTAATATATGCCAAACAAAGCACTGGTAATACTAAGCAGGTGAAAAGGTTAGAACTTATGCATTTCAATCTTGTATACCTGTTATGAAGACGGTTTTAGCAACACGGGCAAGCAAAATACCAACTAACCCTGATAAAAACATTGAAAGAATATCTTGTCATATAGGAGATACTAATTCTTCAAATTTGAGCTCATTCTGCAAATTATTCAATTACAAGCAAAGAAAACCTTAAGACTGCATGGTTGAAATCTACAATTTCAATTATTCAGTGGTAGGGATGAAAGTGGGGCAGGTTTAACCAAATACCATATGACTCTAAATCCAAAAGGATACCTGAGCTGATCCAAATGCTTATGGACCCAATAGGATATCGCTATTTATCCTGATAGGGCTTCCTATAAGAGGTACCCGATAGGCTCTGGGCCCTTACATCTGGGTCCTGCAACTGAACCCACATAGGTATCCCTTTTTTTTTATAAAGACCCACATACGTACTTCTTATTTATAACATAATAAATAAACATTTAACCATGGATGTGTTGTTGATAATTGTTTAATAAACATGGTGACACACAATATGATTAGGTGTTCATTAATTAATAAATGCAAATATGACTAAGAAATGAAATGGGTCTACATGGAGCAAAATGGATACTGAGATACATAATACCCACCTCAACTAGTTAGGATTGAGTGTGGTAGTTGTTATTGTTGTAAGGTTAAGAAAAAAGGGCTGCCTAGCCCAAGGCTTTGGTTCAGAAACAGAGGGAGTACAACACGTGTATGGTAGGTGCATGCAACGTAAGCAAAAGCGTCAAGCTAGGGATCATAGTGGAGAAAGGTAGAAGGCTAGGCCAATTTTCCTCAAGTTTCAAAGTTGAAATAGCAGAATTCTGGTCATCAAAATATAAGAAAAGCTATAGAAATAAAATATGACAAGAAAATTTCATTTTCTTTTTTCTCCTTGAGTTTAAAAGCAATATTGATAATTCATTTTTGTCTTTTTCATTTTAATTTTTAAATTACTTATTATCGTTTAAGGTAACCTTTATCAGGCAAGTACCCGATCTTGGAATCACCATTCGGTTAATGGGGAAATTTGCAACGATTAGAGGTACCAAAGCTGATACTACAAACAGAAGAGAGTAAATCAAAGCTGATGAAACTCACCTGTACCAGCCCCAAGCTCCAACGCAACAACTTCATCAAAATCAGATGACATAGACATCACATGCAACACAAAATCAGCAAGTACTAGTTCAGCTCTCCAGACCTGATCAGGAAAAAAACAACTAAATGAATAGCATAAAACACTCAAAACTTGAGATAGCCTAATGAGGACAATAGTGATTACTGACATTTACGCTAAAGGAAAAGAGAAGACGTGCTCATAGCCTCATACAGTTTTCAGTTAATTCCCTCATACAAATTGAGGAGAAAAGCCATCAACAGGAAATGCCATAGGCTCATAACGTACTCTCTTTAAATGGGGGAGAGAGAAGCTGAATGGAGAAATTATAGATGAAGACAAGACAAGATATAAGGACCAACTTAGGCGGAGATTTTTGGATTACCTGCAAACCAACTCTAGGAATCGATGAAGTGATATTGTGCTGGATGGTCAAAACAAGATGATGGCTAGGTGATTCTGCAAGTAAAAGGAAAATGACGCATTACGTCTACGGCTATTTAATTTGAAATGGTTGGTGGAGGGAGCGATGAGGAGCTTGGGTTCATAATCAGTGACTCCATCTAACTATTCAAGCCAAGTAAACGTGCATCTTTCTTAAAAGCATTCATCTGAAGGTTAATTTAGGAAACTCAACCAATATTCCCTATTTTATTATTATACCACAAAGAGAAATGCACTTCTTATCTAGGTAATCTTTGTGCTTTCTCTGAACTTTTTCTCCTGAATTAACTGAGCTAGGTTGACTACTGAGGAGATCAAGAGAAGAAAGTGTGTGCTGTGGTATTAGAGTTAGTTGGTGATATTTTGAAGTAAGGATGGAATACGTGAAAGCAGTGTAATGGCGCTCAATTAAATTGGAAGAGTAACATTAACACATCAAACTCTATCCAGATTGTACATTTTGAGATTGAGCAAAGAGGTCATTCTTTTTGAGATGGACTAAATTAAAGAGTAGGTATGCGATGGAGGGAGTATTTTCTCATGAAATTCCAATGTGATATGATTTTTGTTCTTGTTCGCTCTTCTCTGAAGAGGGGAAAATAGAAACAGGCTGAATCAGCTTAAGTTCACATTAAACACAATTTTTTATGTTTTTGTATACTTCCATTGGTATACCATCTCTAATTAGTAACACTAATTAGATCTCAAAAGCGGATGAAAGAACGTCAAAGTGTATGCACCTAGATGAAAAGCTCATAAACCAACACATGTTGACATTGAAAAAAACTGGTACTCCGTAAAATAGATGAAAGGACTGCCAAAAATTAAGGTGAAACCCAATTACTTAAAAAGTACAAAAGCAAATGAAAGTGCTGAAAAGAAGGATTCATTATATTATTGGGTATGGTGGACAAATATGCACACGCAAAGGAGAGTTCTTGATGAAAGCCTTAATTTTGAGGTGCAGATAACTTACTTTTGCGTCGTGTTAGAATAAGATCACCATCTTCATCCAAGTCAAACTTGGTAGATGTTGAAATTGATATATCTTCAACTGCATCAGTATGTCGTCTCGATGTGGAATTATCTACAAAGTTGAAAAGAACACTAACTCTTTGAATAATGTTTTCATGAGGAATCGAGATCCTACTTCATCCTGTCATGTGTTACAAAGAGAAGTCCCAATATGTACATCCACTAAAGCAAGTGATAATAGGTGAATTGGACTATAATTAGGCCCTAAAGAACCACCTTCTTGTATAGTTTTTATGGTAAAAAGTGATAACAAAATGCTCTGATTAGTGTTTTTCATGCTATGCAGGCTATATACAATAAAAGCAGTCTATGGAGTACTTTGGGATCAATTACGGAGAAAAAGAGGCCAATCTTACAATATCCGCTAAGTGCACCACGCGAAGGCAGCAAAACCAGAACTGGAGAAGGACTACCGCGGTCCCGGCGTAACCGCGGTCGGACCGCGGCAGAAGGCTGTTGCGGATTCTGAGAGGCTAGTTGGCCGCGGTCCTGGCGTAACCGCGGTAGGACCGCGATAGAAAGCGGAAAATTGAGGGACTGAAGTGCAAAACACGAGATTTTTAGCCCAAAACCCTATATTAAACAATAGAACTCGCCCAAGGGAGGCATGGAATGTTTTTAGAGTACTTTGGCAAGAAAAACAAGTGTGAGAGATCACCCAAAACATCATATTTTCTTCTTCTCTTTATTTTTCTGGCAATTTTGATCATGAATATTTTCATAGTTTATTTACCCATTGTCATGAGTAGCTAAATCCTTTGTCTAGGGTTTTGATGGAACCTATTGAAGGATGAACTTCTTGATTATGTTAATATAGTTTGCCAGTTTAATCTCTATTTGTTCAACTACGTGTTTGTTGTAGTTAATTGACAGGATCCTCAATTAG